GCAAATTTTCTTCCCGTAACTCCGGGACTTCGTCCTACCCCCGCGTGCACATACTTCGAAGTATAATGCTAAATCCCCAGGGTTAAGCGCATCACCAGTGGTTAGCTAACCACGGAGATACGCTTAACCCCTAGTATGAGTTGAGGTGGTCAGAGTACAAAAATTATGCCTCATCTAACTAGAGTTTATTAGTTTGAACGGTTGTCAGTCTTGGCTGAACGGTATTCAGATTTGTTGAACGTTTTTCAGGGTTAGTCAGAGGTAGTACACTAACTACCGCTATGTAGGCGGGCCGTACAAAAATCACGTGGAATGAATAAGTAACGTTAATGAAAAAGTTTCTGTGGTTTAATTTCGGTCGATGAACGCTTTTCACCTTGGTCCGTTGCCGCCGCCATGCTGAGATCGTGTGGAGTTTGATACTCGCTTGCCCCGCTACCAGTAGTCAAGTACTACCTCCGAACGGAAATGATTCACCTCGTCAGCACGAAACCCCCGTCGTTTAACGTGTACGAATAATGCAAAAATGACGTTGTTTACAATATCTTGGATAGATTCACCATGAGACACAATGAAATAGGGCAATTCAAACTTTTGGGGCATTTAGTCAATAGGGATATACGATGATTGGGACGAAGGTAGACCATGCAGCCACCATGATGACCGTATACACAGCGACTTCGTCGATTTATCACCACTACCAGTGTGAATTAAAGTTTGTGCCTCCGATTTGAATCCATTTTTCATCTAGCTGGTGGTGATACCTGTAGAATTGTAGGACAAACTCAACCTTCAATGCTGTACTGCAAACTCACAATGATAAAAGTATTTCGAAGTAAAAGTTGAGTCGACGGCGGGATTTGAACTCGCAACCTCAGGCATGAAAGCTCCAAACTTTACCGTTAGGCTGTGCTGACACGTTTTTTTCACACTGGGGTCATTATGATATATAGCTTCATCATAATATCGAATGATACCCAGATTTGGAAAGGTCGCCCAAACATGGCAGCCAACCTTGCCAACTTCCAACGAGGCAGCAACGTCCAAGACATGCTATGTGTGTTGCTGCGTGATACAGTAGCGCACACAGCAGCTTGGCGCGGACGTTGCTGTCTCTTGGCTGTGTCGAAGGAATGAATACATGCTAGGGTCTCTGGCGATTCGTCAGCGTGCTGTAGGAGGCTGATCACTTGCAGAGTGTGAGCGTCCAAGTCGTTAAGGCTAGTGGTGGTTCGTTCTGCCAGTTGTTTATGTGAGCGTTATGTGCTCATTGTAAGTAGCGAGTGCATGAAATAAGCAGATTCACAGCATTCAAAAAGGTGGTTCAACAACTAGTGTTCAACAAAACTCGTTTGAAAGCAGCGGATTCATTGCTGCGACAGGGTGAATAATGAAATATATTCATCGAGCTAGCACTGACAGGAATTATAGTGCTGTAATAGTTGCTTGCTGCAATGATGAAGACCAAAACAAGGGAAATATTTTGCGTGTAATATGTGATCCCATGTGCGCAGAGTAATCTATCTGATGGAATGGATTGACCCTTTAGTAGTGCCCCATCCCGAATAACCTCACATCAGCTATGTAGTGCAGGTCGGGAACCTTCTACGTACCAGTAGTCTTACCGGTAGTCGGTGTTGACGCTACATGTGAAGTTTCGTAACCAAGCTACCTCGCCTTTGAGGTCCACTATGCATAGCTACCGTAATTTTCAAGCAGTCCTGCTTCTATGCACTCCACCAATTATGCTAGTTAGATATTCCTTCGTCCGTTATTCCATTTCTTATCTACGCTATTGGTAACGTCTCGACCAAGGTATACACAATTCTTAATACCTAGTACGTGGTAATTTCAATCAATAATGCTGTTACATGTAGCAACATTTCTACCAGGTAAACTAGTGCAACATTTCTACCACTAGTGCGCGACACATAATTCTAACACTGCAGTCGTAATTCTTCTTGACAATCATCGCCGCGAATACCCGTATTGTGGGAAGTATTTGTAGCACCCGAGTTTGTTGGCAATCTTATCTAAGCTTTCTCTGACGAGTAATTTACTGGGTTATATAAACGAACACACCCTACATGTAGTCAAATCCGATGGCTACAATTCGTAGCATACCAGTATTGCGAAACGTTTAGCAAGTGCAACTTTAGGATTACGTTTACTGTGAACTGCTTGACAGCACCAATTAAATATACCGGTAGTACACAAACCTGACCTTGTCTGCACAACTCACTGAGTTCATGGTTAAAATGGTGCAGCGCTACTATTCGAGCACTTTGATAACTTAAAACACGACAAGTAAAATCTACAGATCGCAGGTTGCTTGAGTCGTAAAATCTAAATCGAACGTCAACTGTCAAATCTAACGTGGTGGCACCGAATCTGAGACCGTTGCAATGCTCAGTAGGGAGCCTAATCGTGGCCACAAAGTATTTGCGCATGGATGTCATACCAGTGTAGTATCAAGAATAATTTAGTTAGAAATCTGCACACGTCAACACAATATTAACACTAACATGGTCACAGCTAACGCCTAGCTAACCAGTACCACGTAGTTGGGACAACCATCACGCTCAATTTAAGCTAGTAAAGGTGGTAGGAATCGACAAGCTGAGTAAAACCTAATCATCGTATGCCCACCAAGCAGAACTTACCCTATATTAAACATCTCTATTAACGCGTTAAGCCCAAACTGTACTTCGACACAGGGGCAAACTAAACAGGCAAATGGACTCCACTTGTAGTCAATCGAGTGCCCTCCCCAACGTCAGCTTTCAATGCTTATCATACTACTGTAAGCATATCTATTCCATAGTCGATGTGACTACCACCACATATTCTACAGGTAACGTTAGTACAGGTAGTACTGTAATGACTCCTGCTCTGTTAAGGGTTCACACTAGGGCGGCAAACATGTGAGCTTACTGTACTTCCACAGCACGGTCCTACATGTAGGTGTCCCCAGTTTGAATCGGTTGCCACGAATCTTGTACTATAACAGTTAAATACCATTATAGAGCAAGGTGCATCGCTAGTGTGTCGGTTTGATTCCAAGTTGCAGACGACATACATAGTCCACGTTTCGAGCCTAGCTTCGACCATTTCTTTTTGCCATAATTATACTCCGGTTGTTTTTGTGACCCTCCTAATTTTGATTTGTTTGTATAAAACAGTTTTATACCTATAAAATTGAATTCGAAAGGTATTGGCCACTTGTCTGTTTAGGGTATTTACAATCGACCTATGATCCGGTTAATGGCATGAAACATACATTTTTACCTTGATTTGGGACGATAAACATCGTCAAACCAGCATTATTCGGACACGATAAACATCGTCGAATTTGGCCGAACGTCCTGAAATGATTGATAGATTTTAGTATGTGCATGATATCGTCAAATGTTTTGAGCGTTATCATATCCTAGATGTATCAGAGACGAGAAGTCGGTCATTTTTTCTATTAATACCATAAATACACCTAATCAGAGCAATTGCAGCCTACTAGTATATACTGTTTGCTATTTACAGAGTCAAGTGTAATATTGGAGATTCGGTACGAATTTCCGGACCCCGTTCAATCGAATCTCGCCGAGCGAACTGGGCACCAATCTCTCCCAGTAGTCAAACCGAAATTACGTGTCGCTGATTGGCTACAATACATTTCGATTTTCTACCTGAAAGGGCGAAGTGGATATTAGCCAATCAGATGTATCGGCTCGGTTTGTGCTCGGTTGAACGAACCATGAAGAAATGGGCAAGTTGAAGAAACTCGGCAATACAAAGCTACATATAATTCACTAATTTAGACACTTTAAATAGTAAGCTACGTACTGCTACGTACTCCGGAGTATTAATAGTACGTACACTTACAGTTAGTAGTAATATTTAATTGTAAAACCATATGGACAAATAAAAATTTAATGTATCAGAACATCCAATACAATTTGGAAGTTGTGGACGAAATGATTGTCTGCAAACGTGTTGTGGCCGACTATCGGTACCGGTATAGGGATTAATTCCATGCGCATGCGACATTTTTGGAAGTTGAAGTGGCCCGAGATTTGGAGTTGGCTGGCATCTCAGGATTGAAAGACTTTGCCGTGAAACCACCACCGGGGTTGAGTACATGACAACGATGACGAGCTCAGCTGGAGGGATGTTGTTGGCAATTACCTGAGGGTTATGGTTGGGTAATATTGTTACCTCATGCTCCTGTATTTTGAGTCCTAATTGGCTTACATTTCTATTTGTCCAATCAAGCTTTGTTCATTTTAATTCGACCAATCATTTCCGAGCACCCGCTTCACATGACCTATGATTTCTCCGGTTGGACCTGTACAAACGTTAGTACTGTATCGGTTTGGAACATACTATAGGCCAATGACGGGTGTGTACCTAGTTGTCTCTAATTGGACAGAAATACCCAATCACCATGCGTTAATAATTTCTATCCAATGAAATCTAAGCCCTGTGGTGGATTTAGGCCAATGCGCATGCCTGAATAGTTTTCAAGGTACCACCGCTTTTGGACCTGTTGTGATCAGATTTCACTGACATTTTCATAGGTACGGTACTGAAGCGGGGGTAGAGATGCTACAAACACCTGGTTCAGTACAACTCTGTCTCGTTGTCGTTCTTCGAGTAGTAAAAAACCGTACTACTGATTTCTGAGAATAGGAACAGTAGTACTGTTTTAATCAGGGAATTGTTCACGTTCTTCAAATGAGGGCCAGTTCGAAGTAGATTGACCAAAAGTGTCATAAAGGCGTGCACAGTCCTGATTGTCTCCGGACATTATGTTTTTACTCAACGCTTATTGGTCGAATTATTTATTTACGGAGACCCTACTATTATGATAGGAGGTACTGTATTCGACGTCCGGGCCAAAAGCAAAAATATTCCGGTGACTAGGAGTGATTTGATTGGTCATAGTGTCCGGGAATCACGAACTAGTAGAGTCATGTCAAATCGTGTAGAAGCCAATCGGGTCAAGCCATTCGAGTTGCAAATGCGCACTTTGCATTTGCCATGCTCCGAGTGTGGCAGACTATTGCCGCCGCCGTCGCCACCGTTGCCGCTGCGGACGATACATGGACGTCCGTGCTTGCGCTACCCAACATCACGTCCATGTAGGATGATTCGTGGTGGTGGTAGACAACTGACGCACTTGTTCCTTCTAGTGAAACGACCCTGACAACAGGAACTCAGCGATACATCGAAGTCCGCCATGGCAGTGACTCGAACCTCACGTGCGTTGTACTTGCGATGTGATCATGACGTTCAGAACAATCCCCTATAGAACGATTGAGTTTTCGTCGAATCTTACCTTGGACGGGGTCGTCCTACCCAAAAGCCTGCAGAAGTTTGCGCTTAACCGCGTGAATTTATCAGCGTTTCCGTATGGCTTCCAATGGCCATCTACCCTCAAATCGATGTAAGTGATCGTGATATGTGCTTATTATTACACTAATATATCTAAAATCACGAATTTACTGTACTTGGTATATCGTCGTAGCGACCTGTCTCGGAATGCGTTAACGAACATTCCTCAAGATATCAAATGGCCGGCGGGGCTAGCATCGTTGTACGTGCTTTCCAACATATATATATATATATTTATTCCAAAAGTCTCGAAATACTTTATATATAATTCAACGTGGGAGCGCTACATGTATGATTGACTGATTTGTATAGGTCGTTGTCAGACAACAAATTGACAGAATGTGTCTCCGACTTACCCGAGTCGATTTCTACCCTGTACGTTTCGCCTTGTTGAGATTGCCCTTTGCACTTGTAAACGTTCGCATATATTTGTTTGTATGCTACGACGACAGCAACTACGGCGGCAACCGCTTGACTTCTATTCAAGCTTGCCAGTGGCCAAAAGCATTGGAAACCCTGACGGTGTCTGGGAACGCGTTACAAAGAATGTCGCTCAGTCAGACGTGGCCTGATGGACTGAAAGAACTGTACGACCTCCTTGTACGACCCTACAATTGTATGATGATTCACGGCTTTGGCGATAGGCACATGGACAACACCGAGCTGAAATACGTCCCGTCTACGTTTCCCGAAGGCCTTCGACAGTTGTACGATCCATTTGGATAAACGGGTGGTCGTACACCAACTCTAATGGCCTCTGGGATTATTCATATATATAGGCACTTGAACAAAAACAAAATTAAGTCTTTCCCCAAAAAGCTCCCGTCAGATCTTCAATCCTTGTATGTCAAATTCTTCTCATTTTCGATATATATATGTCTTCAAATGTAAACCAAACGATAATGTTTAGGTCGTTGTCGTACAATAAGATCAAGGTGTTGCCGGCCCACCTAAACCGATTCCCCAAGTTGGGCGTACTGTATGTTGAAAATGACCCATACAACCCATATTTGCTATCTATATATTATTTTCTATACCCATCTCTCTCTCTCTCTCTATATATATATATATATGTATATATATCCTTCCGATATATACAACTCCTCATGTCCGATTCTTTGGTAGAGAACTCGCCAATAACCACCTCAAGTCCCTTCCATCGGATCTCGTGCTACCCAAGGATTTTCACATCTTGTACAACTAACTTCTGCACCCCCACCCCCAGCGTGAATAAATTCTCATCCGATTGTAGACGCCTCTCCAACAACAACTTGACGTCGTTGCCGCCAAAATGTAACTCTTGGCTTGGCCAAATTAATGGCTCCATCATGCTGGACGGCAACCAGCTTAGTGCGTTACCTAAAAAAGTCACGTTCCCGCCCGAGACAAACGTAGCTAGAAACCAGCTCACGGTGCTCGAAAACTTGTCGCTTCCCAAGCACTTTAACGTCAACGAAAACCCACTGGAGCGCGTATCCCGGGTGACAGTGATGGATGGCAGCGTTTGGCAAACCAGTCCCGCCGTGCTCAAGTCGTTTGTGTTGGACGAGAAAGCTTTCAAGTCGTTGGATTCGTTGATGAGAAGCTACAGCTTTTTTAAATTGGGATGGACTGTCGATGCTGCCACGGCCGACCCCGCATGTGCCGCCGAAAGCGGGGTGATCAAGCAGGTGAAAGACATCAGTGTGTGTGTCGTGCCAGACGGCTCGTAAATACTATCGACGGCGGCTGTAAGTTCCATATACTGTATGTATATTGGATAAAACATAATAATAACTTACTCGTTTGTCTTGTCATGTGTTGTTGCTCACGTGTTAGCGTAAATGTCCCTATCGTGTTATCGAATAGACACGTTTTGGAATTTAGATATGGAACGATGGTAAAAGTTGGATGGTATTGGGTTGTTGTGCTTATTCTAAACTGGTGCGACAGGAACAAGGAATATGAATTCACGACACATGTGCAGATGAATCGGCTGAAGCATTTAGCCAATCAGATCGCAGGAAATCAGCATCCAGCTTCTAATTAGTACACGTATTAACTGTTAGTGTGATTACAACCACCACAGAACAACTTTTTTACGTACTACTACGCAGTACAAAATTCAGAACAAACAATCTGATGACGAAGAAGCACACTAACGCTAACGGTTAGTCGAAATTTTGGGTAAAAGGACAATATTATTAACGTTAGAAGACATACCTACGCAGCTCGGCTATGAACTAAACTAAAACCACTTTGGAGATTTCAAAAAACCCTCCAAACACTTAGGCCATGTTTGGTGCAAAAATGGATTCTGACTCCGGAATTCGGATTCCATCGACACAATAATCATGCAATATCTCCTTCCAAATCTCATTTTCCCCACAATGTGTTGAATACATTGGTCAAATTTCAACAGAACTCTGAACTTGAGGGTTTGCATTTGCTCCAGAAGCAGCGGCTGCAAGTCAGCTCGTGAGTTCTGTCCACTTCACTTTGATCGTTGGCATGCCATGTCCGAAAATGTGCAGAGTCCATTCCACTTCGTTTTCAATTTTTGGAGCATAGCACCTTCGTAGTACTCCGGAATACTACGAGTATGTGTTACGAATAGTTGATAGTACGAGTTTACAGTTAGTGTACGCCAAGACTGTAACCTTAATATTATTATCTTTTTGTTACTATTAATACTCCGGAGTAGTAATATACATTATTTTTCAATATTAAGTCCAAACTTTGGGTAAAAGGACAATACCAGTCTTTCAGTCATCGGTGAGCTCAGCTTGGAAATAGAGTAGTCGTACTCTCTCCATTGGGTCTCGATCCATGGAAGCTTGGACATTGCCTTTGAACTCGAGGAGGGGAACTGCACTGCATTGGGCGTCCGAGAATGGCCACATGGAGGTGGTTAAGTACTTGCTGAGCAAGGGGAACGAAACGGGCATGCAAAACCTGGTACAAGTATCTGTTTTTTTCGTAAAACTCAGCGCATTTATATGCGGCAGTGTCAGGAAACAACTCGGAAGTGTCGCTATGCGAAGCAACAAGATCACCGTCGTGAATACTGTATCTAGCCCAACACCAGGGACACATACTTGTACCAGTACCTTCCAACGACCGGCTAATGCTCCCCGCAGATCATATTAATCATGCAGTCTGTTGGAGCTATTGAAGGCATCATGACACTGCTTCAAACCATCACGCAGCACAATCCCGCCTTGAAACTACCCTCGGGAGTGTTCGAGATGTGGTTCTTCACATGAAATTCAAGGTATCATCCGAGACACTGCGACGATAAGAACCGGTGTCACATACCTTCAGGGGGATGTCGATCGCATTCAACATGATGTTCAAGCCGTGGCCGAAACGCGATCTGCACTGTTTTCAACAAAGTCGTCAAGACTCGATCACGAAGGTTGAATCAAGTCAGTGTTCGAGAGTCATTAGACTTGCAGGAAAAATTGAGCGGTATCGACCTTGAGGGTTTGTCGATACGACTATTCGAAGCAATTTCACTCCCTGCAAGACGAACTTGCACACGAATCACTCACGAGTGTTCCAAGCGAAAAAGCGCTGCTCATCAACGTTCCTTGCTCCATTGTAGACAGGGCATGTTTACCCCGGAGTACTATGGAGTACTACTCTGAAGAAGTCGAACGTAACTGTCGAATTGATTAGTCCGCTTTTTTATTGCAGTGACCATCCCCTTGTTTGCTGCTTATACTCTATGTTTGGCCAAATCATCGACACACTCTGAGATTATTTTGACATAATCAAGCCAAGTTGCAATACTGTTTGAAACATAGTGTCTTTCGACTAAACTATTACTGGTAGAAGAAGATGGGTATCGATGATGCTACAATTTAACTTGCTTGCATACTGTAGCTTCCAAGTAGTCACCAGAGTAGTTGTACATGTCCTGAGGCAAACTAATGATTGACCTATAAATATTGGAGATTCGGTCAATCGACGACTCTCGCCGAGCGAATCGAGCACCAATCTCTCCCATTGGTCATCCGAAATTACTTGTCGCTGATTGGCTACAATCCATTTTCGAGTTTCTACTGGAAAGGGCGAAGTGGATAATGACCAATCAGATGTCTCGGCTCTATTTGTGCTCGATTGAACGAACCATGCAAAATTGGGAAATTTGAAGAAAATCGACAATATTTATCCCCATTCATCATGGCGACTATGAATAGTTTGCACAATAAAACAAGCTCGACTTATACGAAGACCAATGTATTTTTGATGACAAACGGCAATACAATGAGCTTATCACCACCCCGCCGACACGATCCGCCAAAAAAGTCCAAATGTTGCGGGGCATTGGGATGGATGCGATCGAGTCAAGGGAATTTGACGGGCTGCACACCACACGCTTGGTTTTCGATTGTCGTCCCCCACCATTAACTAAATCCATCAAACCATCAGCTGCACAGGCGTTGCCCTATTACATGATCCTACGGGGCGTTCGGCTGTTGAATTGGAATTCTAAACTACACTCCATGCCGAGTCGTTTCTGTTCCGTGTGTGGGGCGTACCTACAGTTAATTTTCCTCCGGGTGAAAATGAATACAAGTAGTCCATTATTAACCTGCTAGGATAGACAAGATCGCGATGGACCGATCACTTTTTACTACACACGATATTGTTCAACCAAAATTCTGCAAGCTTGTCACTTCGCGAGCACCGTCTTAAATCTTCGTGATTGAGTCTTGACATCTTTGATGAAAACGGTGCACATCGCTTCCAACAGTCGTGATCATTTCGTCCACGCCTTGAACATCATGTTGAATGCGATGGACATCCCCGTGAAGGTCTGTGACACCGGTTCTTATCGCCAGTGTCTTGGGCTAAAACTTGAACTTCTTGTTGCATGTGGACAATCTCATCTCGTACGACCACAAGGGTAGTTTCGACGCGGAATTGCACTGTGGCGATGTTCTGAAGAAGTGCCGTGATGCCTTAAATAGCACCAACAGACTGCACAACCAAGTTGATCTGCGGGAAGCATCTCAAATTGATAGTTGTACCAGGTTTTGCATATTCGTGTCAACCCCCTTGTTCAGCAAGTACATTGACCACCTCCATGTGGCCATTCTCGGACGCCCAATGCAGTACAGTTTGCCCCAACTAGGCCCCCATGAGATGCCCTTCGTTGACAGCATGCTTGTTACCGTATCCTTTGTATGGATGTCAGCACCACGAGTCCGACCATTCTATGTCCACAACAGTTGAGATCAATCACCCGTAAATACGGTAGAGCACCGATACCTTGTCCGTCGCATGAATGTCAGCCCCGCATTCCATCAATGTAGTTGCTACGCCAAGGCTTGCATTGCCATACGCTCGATGACGTGGCGATGGTCCCATTCACATTTGCTCCGATGTCGATGCCCTGATTGACTTCTACCGGTAGGAGGTTGCCACTTCAGCAGCTTCGTACAGTACAACTTTTCAACCTGCACTCCAAAACATCACACTCCCACAAGTCATCGCCAACACAAGGATATCTATCGCACCAGGCTTGCAATTCTCAATCTGTTTACCTGCCTTGCAACGACCTGCAGTCGTTATTCCAAAATACTACTGCGGACGAGAATTGCCAACCGTACCCTACCCCGTACGTGCAATGGTTGAGGGTAGCGTAGAGCACGGACGAGACTTGTACTTACTGTTAGCTTACCCTACCTCACTTGTCAAACTAAGCATAAGTCTCCAATATCCATTACACATACTAAACGACGAAGTCGCATGCTCATACCGATACAACGAAAGCCATGGAAGAGCAACAAGGTGAAACATAGTGGTCAGATGTACGAGCACTTCAACACTTGAAGAAAGCAGTTATTGCACATGTAAAATAATTACTTCTATATTGTATTGAACAAAAGCTTCTAAATATTCTATTGTTGCTCGTATTGTCGTTGTGCTGCTACGAGAACTCGGCAGCGTTGCCATGTAGCATCTGCTTTGCATCACAATTTAACACTCTGGCACAACAGATCGACCGTTGAATGAACATGTCTTCCACGGAGACAACGCGACTACATATTGAGGATCAAGAACGACAGTTTGGCCGTAGTACTTCAGGAACCCCAAACCTCACGGTAACCACAACGGATGACCGGGCAGTCCGTGTCAAATCGAAATTGCTGACTCAAACGGTCAAAGCGCGGTAGGAACAACCACGATTCAGCTTGTCTAATCACGCTTTTGTGCGAGGTCGATGACATGGAGCTGGTGGTTGCGGCAAATGAGAGGGACGACGGGCGCATCAAGCATCTGATTGCCCAAAACGCAAATGTGAGTGTCGTGAACGAAGTAAGTTGTACTGTAGTACAATAACGTTACTTCGAAGTATTACGATACCAACAACACGTAAGTGATGATGTGGTCACGTGTAGGCTGGAGAGAGTGCACTTTACGTGTCGGTGAAAAATAAATCTAACCATCGGAGTTCAAGCATTGTTGGTTGTTGGTGCAGACATCAACATGTCAACTAACCGACGACATAACGGCCACGTTTTCCAGTAATTAGTGCGGTCCACACTAATTTTCAACCTCATCATTGGACCTATGTATCAGTAGACCGGAATAATTCGCTCATTAAAACTGTTCCATTGTTGTTTTACAGTTAACCCGAAATACTGGTTAATGAGGGAATTATCCCATCTGGGTACACTATTGCGTAACGTTAGTCCGCCCTACCCCTGATGAGTGCATCTGAGTGGTTAGCTATCGCTAACCATTGGCGATCGATTCAACCCCAGGGATTTAGCATCATATGTACTCACCGGGGGTACTGTAGGACATAGTGCGAAAAGGTGTACTAGTACCCAGATTAGACAATTCCCTCATTATTGTCGATTTGCTGGGAATTTCCGGATACAGAGAGGTTCAAATCCCTACTTTCATAAACCACGCGACGGCGTTTGATCGGTTTATCTGTGAGTTTGGCAGTTTCGCATTTGCGCGCCATTTCCAAACGCACGCCCTTCTGGCCGCTCGTCGATACCCATGAGTGCCATTGAGTCTGTTGTCTTCCACCGACATGCCAGCCCCAACACTATGATGCTATTCCTCTACTACTACTTCCTAGGGACGAAGAAGTCTTGTTTGGCAGTCCTCTGTGGGAAGGACGAGAAAACGATTCATTTCACTCCCACGACGCACCACCACAGCCGAACGTTGTCAACCTCACAGCGGACGCGTTGCGCTGACCGACAGTCTTTTTGGTCGTACCGTAGCCTCAAGTATGAGCTCGTACAACGAGGTTGAGTGCGCCCCCACCTCTGGTTGCAGGCTTAGACGTGGGCTTTGTGAGGATATCGTGTTCCTCGCGGGAGTGTCTGCAACGTCCATGGTGGTGTCCGCGTCAGGGATGGAAAAAATCATGATCCACGAGGACTCCGCGTGGATGTTGTGAAGTGAGTTGCAGTGCGGCACGTTCTCTGAAAGCCGTTCTCTGAAAGGCTGGTTTCGGAGTAGCCAATCATAGTCTAGCATGAATGGATTAACCAATGGGCGAGGTTTGTGATAGGTTTACTGTTAGTCGGCGAGATTCGATTCGACGGAATCTGGAATTCTGTACCAAATCCTACCAGTAACAGTAAAACAGTATTTATTCAGTAGAATTACCTCGTATTTTGTGCCAACCCAAAACTCTAAAACCAGATCTAACTGTAAAGTGGGATCACGCAAAATAATTTAGCGTTTTTCATCATATTTCACACCGGTTGCCAACCAGCGATTAAACTCTAATACTAGCATTCGCATGGATGCACGACACCAAGCAGCAGAATCGCCTGGATAAAAGTAGTTCAGGGCAAAGAATGCCAACAAGTCAGTGAATGAACTACTAGCAGGGAATATCGCTTAGAAAGCCGCATCCGGAGTAGCACTCCGTTGCCGGTACTAGTGCGGTTGCGACCTATACAGTAATCGCGTCTACGCTTACATGCGCTTGAAAACGAACCGATACACAACATTTGATTGATAGTCTACGCATGCGTCAACAGAAGTCCAGAAGTCGCAATAGAGGGGGCATGCTCCGTTGGTCGAGAAACCAGTGCCTGTGATGTGGGCACCATACACGAGCGATCGGGTGCAGTGCTGGGGCAACGCATGCAGGCGCTGGTTCCACGCGACCTGGTCGTCGTTGCATCTGTTCAGGCGCCAACTTTCAGTATGCTTCCTACAAGAATCGCAATAAGGTTAACATCATCAGTCGGCGAGGTTGGCACATGCCGAAGGACGACTTCCGTCATGGCCAATGCCGGCAGTCATCCTTCACCATACAAGCGTCACATGCAGTCGTGTCGATGAGACACACAAGATAGGACTCATGGACACACTCTAACTTAGCGTTGAGCGGCGCTTTGCGCTATGTGGGGCCGCGAGGACACGCACCTGTACTTGGCCGACATGGCGGCATACCATTGCAACCAGTTAATCCTAAACGTGTTGGGAATTATATGCACATGGAAATGTATTGCTGATTCTATGCTGGCCAGAACTCGAACCAATCGGTCAAATCTGACGAATAATCTGACTTTAGCGCGCCGGATAGCGTCGACGCTAGAATTTAGAGTCCCGCCCGTGGGAGAAATAAAACGGTAAAATCTGACTGAAAAAATACAGTTTTGGAGTTTTAGCGCCACGAGTGGGGATGCTCTAATGCAGCCATTCCGGCAAAACTCAGAGTGGGGTAGAGCCAATCAAAACAAATCCTTTAACAAAACTGCATAGATTAGTCGTCCAATGCCATTGTCACATACTAGTAAGTCTACCATGACCATTCACGTTTAGCCTTCAAAGCCGGGGATTCATGATCTTTCATTCAAGACGACGCGATTAAGAAAGGAATGAGCTAAATCCACCCAGTATTTGAAAAATAAAGATTCGTTTTGCCCAAACGCCGGTTATACAGATAACGACGGAATAAGTGGCCCTGTGGTACTTCGAAATAGCACTTCAAATTTGTCCTGGGACAAACTACTTCGAAAAGTAGAAACTTAAATCAATACGAAAGTTTAGTACCACGGGGCCACTTACTGAGAGCCCGTTCCGAGAAAAACTCAGAGGGGGGTAGAGCCAATCAAAACGAATCCTTTAACAAACCTGCATAGATTAGTCGTCAAATCCCATTGTCATGTCATCGGCGATAAACACCGTGTCGAATTCGAGGTTGTTCTGGGGTGTCGGATCAAAGTCATGTCCATGGATGGCCAAAGGTCTTCTTGGTCACCTGGTGATGTAAAGCACCCACCTCAACCAAATGGATGTGGTATTGCTTCCGGCATACCAACTTCATTGTGCATTTCACTCCCACTTGCACTCGTACATAATGACGTCGTTGGTATCTCTCCTTTCCATCGCCGCTTCGATCGTAGTCGCGGACGACTGCTCCAACATCACGTTCTCCGAAGCAGTTGAGTCGAAGGTGGCAGGCAGACGAACCCAAGTCGGCAGCGTGGCTCCCCCGCCCCTATCAGTCGCTGGACGTTCACTTCCCTGTGGACTCGAAGATTATCGACACTTCGGCTGCTCATTGCGTGGTAACCCTTGTCAAGAACCATACCTACGCAAGCTCGATCGACAAGCCTTACAAGGGGGAGTTTTCCCCTCCTTTCTGCTACGACGACCCCGACTATTCCCTGGTGTACCTCCGGTACAAGGCCAACGTGGACCCTGGTCAGCAATTTGACCGCATCGCCGGCGTCTGGATCGGCAACCACGCCGTCCTCCGCACGACCGCGCAAGAACCCAACAAGGAGCTTGGCCCCCACTGGGAAATCTTTCGAGAAATTTCGCAATACCGAGCGCTGTTTGGGAAAAACGGCACCGTCACGGCGTCCCTTGATAACGTGGTCAACGACGAGTACACGAGCAGCTTTTATGTGACGATCACGGCCGAGTTCTACAAGAAGGACCCGTCTCAGTACGTCGTCCAGCGCGTGCCGTACGCGCCCGACCAGATCGTTCCGATCTTCAAATCCAACGGCAATCACCCCTGGTTCAACGTCCAGCCCAACACTCTCGGCAAGAACTACAACCTCGTGACCTTCCCCAAGAACCTCGATGGGTTATACCTGGAGCTGTTTACGTCCCACCATGGATGCGACGAGTTCCAGTATAGCAACCCTCCCGACGAGCTCAAGGGCCGTGTCCGTGCAAACTGCGGCGGTGGTTCCTTCCGTGAAGTGCAGATCCTCCTCGACGACGAGATTGTCGGTGCGGTGTGGCCGCTGCCGCTCATTTACACGGGCGGCTTACTTCCTGCGCTGTGGCATCCAATCGTGTCCATAGGTGCCTTCGAAGCCCCCACGTACATCATCGATCTGACGCCGTACGTGGCCAAGGTGCTGGACGGCAAGCCGCACAACGTGAGCTTCGCCGTCGACCATGGCTTGGACCACTGGCCCACCAACGCCAACTTGCTCGTGTACCAGGACCACAACGTCGAAGAGACGGCTGCCACGCTGGACCGTAAAGTATTTGACCGCAATGTCGCGCCCAATGTCGTTATCAGCGGCAGTGGCTTTTACTATACCGTCCGCACGAACGTCACCCGTCAAGTGAACGTCGAGTCGACCATCACTAACTCGCAAGGCATCCGCAAGTACAACATCAAGAAAAAGTTCAACTTCGTCAACCGCCAAGAGTACTCGGCCAACGGCCAGTCGTTCAGGTTGCGCAGCACAACTCAGACCAAGACCACAATCGATTTCAAAGACGGCACGAAAACCACCAAGTACACGGAAGACTACCCGCTCTACGGCGCGAGCTGGCAGAGACGCAACAAGGCCAAGGCCAATGCGCGTGTCGAACACGACCTCCGCCAGAAGCTTCGTATCGACGGCAACAAGGACCACTTCCGAGTCGGAGTCGAAGGGTACGAGCTCACGATCACCCAAAAGGCCAAGGCCCAGTCCAACTCGCGCACCGGAATCACCTCCTCCAACGAAGTGGTCCTCGCCGCGTCCAACTCCACCGGATGCTACTCGCGCGACGTCAGCGCTGTCACTGGTAAGTACACCAAGTACGTTGAAGCCAAAAAGTGCCCCAATGTCAACCAGTACGTTGATGATTACAACGACGACGACGATGATCATGGCCAGGACCTTCCTTATACTCCGGAGTAATAAACTTCAATGACGTTGTGTTTCCGCAAAACAATCTAGTTTTGCCACAGGATATACTTATCTTTCGTGGCAGAATAATCCTTCCCATGAGAAGCGAATGGTATATATACCTGGTGTGCTCAGACAACAGTGATGGCTGAAAGCAGCATCAGGGACCATATACACTGTAATGTTTGGTGTTGAAGGCAGCCTCTGCTTCAAAATACGATAATCTATCTACATTAGGGAGATTTCGGAAGTTGACTTCTCCTTTTCTTTTTCCGTAAAAATTGAAAGCAAGGAATTTTATATCGACGATTTCGGTGATAACAGTTTTTCCCTATCCGTAGACTAGATGGAGCCAAATTCGTGGATTCGTGGATGATCGGCGAGGTCATTGTGAAGTCATCCCATGGGTCATTCGCCGTTGAAGCATTGGGGCTACTAGTAATAGAGACGAAGCATCGAATTGATTGAAACTCATGTTGTGTTAGTTCAGTTGTTCTACTATGTGTAGGACGTTCGGAAAGGTGTAGCTACGAAGGCAAGGAGTGGCTTGCACCTAAAGTAGCACGCCTCGGCAACTGGCACCAAAGCGTCAGCTGCAGAGGAGTCCTTCTATACTAGTACTTATCTGGTGCATTTAAGAAATCCTTGATAGCCACTGGTACAACTCCGGCCCGATGTACTGCTACCGTATACCCCCCGCTTCATCTATGAAATCTGATCACAACCGGTGCAGCTCCAAGTGGCACCTTGAAAACTATTCAGGCATGCACATTGGTCTAAATTCATCACAAGACTTATATTTCATTGGATGAAAATAATTAACGCATGGTGATTGGATAGTTTTGTCCAATTAGAGACAATTAGGTACACGCCCAACCGGAATCATGAAAATGTCTGGAGGAATCATAGGTACTGAAGCGGGGGGTATACGGTAGACGCGGTTGACTAAGCTGCGGTGTCGGGCGCCGCCTAATTTGCTTTCCGTAGTTCCTACAAGTGTATACATGTGATGATTCTTCGTCACTATGCATAATATCATTAACTTGTTCGCTCCCACCGCGCCTCTGATCGACCTCCACTTCATGTGGGTCATCCTCCACGCTTCCACGCCAAAAAAGCGTTGCACCACTTCAACAGATCTGGCCAATCACAAGTCAACAGATCTGGCCAATCATGGTCGAGGATTCGAATCCCCAAAATGGACCCATTTCAACTAACTGTAAGTTCCGGAGTTTTCCTCAACCCTATAAGCTTCAGAGGTTATTTTAAGGACAGAGATAAATACTTATCTCCGAAATCTGTTGTCAACTTTAACGTTAGGAAGGCGATCTGTATATCGTCTAGATATTGATTGTTATTCGTGGTAATTCGAACAAACAACCCACCGTAAAAATCAATAGATGGCCCAAAAATCGATCCCTTTGCTTTTGTACGCTTTCTCAACAAATAAGTCGATTTGGACGAACTTTCAACTATGCTGTTTGTTATACAGGTTTGAACGCACGTTTATAACCTTTGGATCCGCGGACACAAGAACGATGAATGACGCGTATGTATATCATGGGTTATACTTCTTGATGAGATCATACATGCTTGGGCTGTCATCTATATATATATATATCGTCTAGTTTACGCTTGCTACCTTCGCAATCATTGTTTTCCAGTACTGTAGAAGCGTTTGGCCATGACGGGCATGCGATGGACGACACTCTCAGGTACTAGGTATGCCAGAGCTCAGCGCAAGTTTTAACGTGTGCATTATAGATTACTATACTGTCTCGATGTCATCCATGCGACTTGACTTGCGCGAGAAGGCGCCACTCCCGCGCCGGATCCTTGGACAATCACAGGTTAATATGATATCACTATGTAAAATTTGCAGCCAAGGATCGTGGAAGTCTTCCAGTGGAGCACTGCACTTGACCATAGGAGAGCAGTAGTCCCCGCAAACCCAATGCATTCTATGACTAGGTAATTTATAGCCATACTATACGAGAAATGAGACAGAATCGTCGTTAAGCAACACCCAAAGAGATTTCGTGGAATCGCCCATGTCGCGGGATGTGGCGCAGGCAGCCTATTATAATTGTTCTGTTGTGGGAAGTGGTGGTGTGGTGGACACAAAGGGCACGACTGCCCCACCTCACCAGGCCCTAGAAATGGCTGAGGTAGAGTAACGTTAGTGTTTGTGTGTGATGGTGGAGGTATTGCCATTGCCTTCGACATCACAATCAAGACACGCCCATGATGCCCATAATAGTGCTCAGTATTAATATGATATTCATACGCAACAGCGTCTTCTCGTACTGATAGCGTGTTTTACTGCCATACCGAAGCAACATAAAGATTCTAAAACCGTGTCCGGATATTTGGCGAAAAACGCAAAATTTGGCAAAAAATTGAATTCTCCAAATTTTTGATCCAGACAGAGAATTTTTGGCGATTACTTAGAAATTGCCAAAATATCGACCCATTTTTATATCCAGACTCGTCCTTACTCAAGAGTATTTGTTGGGGGAATAATTGTTGTCGTCCAGGTCGTCCCTCACGCTTTTCCCGTCACATTGGTAGTACATGTACGAATCTTCGTCCAAAACCGGCGAGTTCCTTCGTGTGTGTGGCAATTTGTTCGTACAATGTCTGACTTGAATGTGTTGTATGCTTGCTTTCCACAGGGGGTAGGATAGTGATGCCCGGATAGTACAAACTTGAGCATGATTCGAAGTTGTTATTTGCAATTTGCCACTGACTACAGAATTAGAGGAATGCCGAGCCTGGTCCGATACAGTCAGTATATATCCTTGTGTTGACGATGACTTGTGGGAGTGTTGTGTAACGTTACGTTAGCATGAGAAGTTGTGCCAAGCTGCTGGAAGTGGCAACCTCCTAGAAGTCAATCAGTGCATGGGCGTCGGAGCAAATATGAACGGGACCAAGGTATGGGTATCTCCAGTCAATATCAATTCGTGACGTTTTGTGGACGTTAGGATCGTTCCTGGAGCTACTCGGCACAAAACATCTGCCAACGGACATTGCTATCGCCTTGATCGAGCATGGAGCTGACATCCATGCGGCGGATATGGTATCGTATTTCATGGATGGCATTGTGGAGTCAACTCATGTGAAAGTTCACCATCAGACTTGTCGAACGCCACTTCATCGAGCGTGTGGCAATGCAACCTTGGTGTAGCAACTGCATTGATGGAATGCAGGGCTGACATTCATGCAACGGACAAGGTATCGGTGCTCTACCGTATTTACGGGTGGTTAACTGTTGTGGAATTAGAATGGCCGGACTCAGGGCATTTCATGGGGGGCTAGTTGGGGCAAACTGTACTGCATTGGGCGTCCGAGAATGGCCACATGGAGGTGGTCAATGTACTTGCTGAACAAGGGGGTTGACACGACCATGCAAAACCTGGTACAAATATCAATTTGAGATGCTTCCCGCAGATCAACTTGATCGTGCAGTCTGTTGGTGCTATTGAAGGCATCACGGCACTTCTTCAGAACATCGCCACAGCACAATCCCGCCATGAAAGTACCCTCGGGGGCATACGAGATGAGATTGTCCACATGCAACAAGAAATTCAAGTTTTTTCCCAAGACACTGCGGCGATAAGAACCGGTGTCACAGACCTTCAGGGGGATGTCCATCGCATTCAACATGATGTTCAAGGTGTGGCCGAAACGACCTTGACTGTTGGAGGCGATCTGCACTGTTTTCAAAAAGGATGTTAAGTCTCGATCACGAAGGTTCAAGACAGTGTTCGAGAAGTGACATGCTTGCAGAATCGATTGAACAACATCGTGTATAGCAAAACTTGACCTTTCGACGGTGATCTCAATACTAGTAATGGAATAGAGTATTCGCTTTTGTCCAGTCCAAGTGAACAACGCATTCCTTCACAGAGCCACTGGGCGGAATACTGTACGTGCAACTCGAAACACCATCAGGAGGCATGATGCAGATCAGAACGCAACCTTTGTCAGGAAATTCAATCCAAGGAACCGTTAAATATCGACAGGATTTCTGATGCTGTTTCGAAGATAGTGCTATTCGCGAATCAACAGGTACAGAAAGTCAAATGGTTTAGACTGGCGTGCTGACAGCCAATCACTTTACAACAGAAAAGGTTCGGAAGTACTCTCATTGTCATTGTTGTCGTACTCCGGAGTACATACAGTAAGAAGCGAGATTATGTCATTTATCAGGGGCTACCAGAATATATGAACTTCAAAACAAACAATTTCAGCCAGCTCCACAGCGACATTAATATTATTTTTGCCTTTGACCAAGTTTATGAACTATAAATACAGCCGGTTCACAGTCAATTAATGACGAAATGTCTCCGCCATCTATCCGGACACCGCCACCCCAGATGTTTTGCCAGCTGCAAAGTGTTTGTAGACAACTCATTTTCGAAAATGCCACCTCGTTGTTTCTTCAACCAGTGCCCGCACCCGGCGACCAACATCAACGGCGTGTACAAGTGCGTGAACCACAGGTATCGTGCCAAGTGCAATGTCGAAGCCTGTCCAAATCAAGCGTATGCCCGCAACATGTGTGTGCGCCATGGCGGCAAGGCGACGTGCAAGGTCGAGACTTGTCAGTCCAAGTGCCGCGTGGGCGACTACTGCATCCGCCATGGCCCCACGGCCACTCGACCGCGCTGCAGTGCCGACAGCTGCGACAAACTGGCACACCCCGCCACCGGGAAATGCTCCTTGCACGGTGGAGGCCATCGGTTTTGCAAACTGGAGGGTTGCTTTTCAAAGGGCCAACACGGCGACGGCTTGTGCAGCTTCCACCGCCACGTCCAGCGAGCTCAAATGCCAGCCCCAGAAGACACAACGGACGACAGTACGGACGACGACGAGGACAATGCCGAGCTCATGGCCCTGTTGATGAACTCCGAGTGGGCGCTCGACAGTCTGTGTGTCCCTGAAATCACACCACCGTGCAACACCAGCATGGTTGACCTCCTGGACCCAATGTTTTTGTTTTCGTCCGCATTCTAGGTCGAAATCCTAGCTAGTAGTACTTTAACGGGCGAATGTTGTGAATATATGTGTGAAGTTGACCAGGAAGTTGTTCTCGACTCAAAACACGAACTGCCCCTTCATTCTACTGTATACTTCAATGAAGCCAGCAGGAAACCCAAACGAAGGCAAGACGGCGGGGTGTGGGACTTATCATGGAATTCCATTGACGACGCTTCGGCAAGATCATAGCCAAAGCGACAACCGGCCGGTGGCCCACCTGGTACATATACTGTATATCAATTTGACCAGACGGATTGGTGAGTGACATATGTCTGTCACGATAGATTTGCATTGCTGTTTAGCCAATCATATTGACAAATCACACAATTATAGCCAATGAAACCACGACTTTGATACTTTTGACTTCCAGTAGAGGTTCCAATGGGTGCTGTCGAAGTGCTGCGTAATCCCAGGATTTTGAGATCTACGCGAAAAATGCCCAAACTTCAATATGCGTCCATATCCTCTCGTTGAGTCTAACACATAGGAAATGGAGTCTACTTTGGGGTGACGTCAACTTTGGGCGACTTGTCTTTGCTCCACAGGGCTGTGCAAAGGCCGAATTTACTTCTGCCGGGCCGCAGAAACGCTGGGTCGCATTTTTTACTGCAGTGTGTTCTCAAGCACCCGTCTTCTATTCTTTTCGTCGTCATTTTCAGCGAGCGAGCGATAGGCTAGCTACAGAGCTCTGAAACTTGAAACTGAAACTTGAGTGAAACTAAAAGTTGTACCAGAAGTGCCATACACTAGAACCGAATTGGTATTTCATCGTTGACGCCCAACAAGAGTTGGCTTGTACTTCGAAGTAGTACATATAGTTTGACGAGGACGCAACGTTCACGTTCATGCATGGACCACAACGCGAACATATTGTACAGTGCCAAGTGTAGCTGGATTTTGATAGGTACTACTGTAGTATGTTGGTCGGCCCGCTCAATGGAATCTTTTATGAACACTCTCCATATGTACTATTAATAGTATGGTCCACTACTAAAAGGTCACATACAGTAGACATCCCTTCTCGACGGTGGTACTTGGCAGCGGATTGCGAAGATGCGCAAATGTCGCTTCACGTTGTGTGGCGATAAATACAGACCAAGCAGAGCGCTTCAGGCTCGAGTAGCTAGACCAAGCCATCACCCCAGCCTTGTGCTAATTCCACAAACTTACACCATATTCGATTGTGTTTTATACTATGGTAGTAGTTATACCGGTACAACAGCCCCGAATCAAGGTTGTTGCTATGCGGCAATACTACTAACGTTACTATAGAGTAACGTACAGCAACGTTCACGTTACGGTGAATTGATGTGAAGAAGAATGCACAGTAGTACCGTATAAGTAGGCCGAGTATCAAGCGAGAAATGGTTATCCATCGCGTTGTTGGTATACAGTAAGTACTACAGTACTACTCTGTCCCAAATTACCTCCACGTTTCAACTTCGACTCACCTCAAAATTTGACTCATTTACCCAATTTCTACGAAATTTATACCAATGAGAAGCTGGGAATTCGGTGTTTTGCTTGCTCATGATTATATTACAGGTTTGTTGGATAATGTGCACACTATCATCAAAATAATATTTCTCCTCAGCGCTCCGGAGTACAAGGAAGCCCCCCCATATTCAATGCACCCCCAATACAGAACCGCGGTGGGGGGTAGCGTTAACCTATCCAACAGGTTGTTTCAGGTGTTAATCTACTAGTGAAGTAGAGTGGACAATGGAGATTGAAGCAAGTTCGAATTCCACCTCGCCCTCCTCCAGTGACTTTTCATATGCGGATGAGAGAGCCCATTGTCGTTCGCTTGTTGGAAACCCGGCCAAATCACAGACAGTCCAGCAATTTTGTACTAGTAATCATTTGTTCGACTCCAATCAAGGACAAGTTCAAGAGCCTCTTAGCCGTCCAATCTGTCGACTTCAAGTATTGGGAACAGTCGGCGAATATTCCGTGGAACTCGAGCAAACAGCCCGATGATCGAAATAGTCATTTGATTGGATATAAAGATTCAAAGAACTCACGTGGATTGGTGGATGGGTGAAACAATCCTGATATCCGGATAATGCCCTGGACGTCAATTGGGTACTGTACTTTTTCAAGGCAGATGTGCCGCGCTGTGATTGGCTACTGGAAGAGTTGCCACTTGCGTTGTGGGTTGTTTTTGTGTGAGTTGGCGCGATAAAGCTTTCGACGCCGACATGCTTGTCGCCTTGTTCCAGGGAGAGAACGTCAAACCGACGCAATTGACGTACGCCTGCGCGAAAATGGAAGTCCGAGGCACGGTTGACGAGGTCGCCGAGCTCTTCTACCCCGACGACGAGCCATTAGCCAACCTCCGGCGGCTGTTCCCAGCCAGACCTGTTGGACGCGCAGACGATCTGCGCAAGCCCCCCGGCACTACATTTCCATACATTGGATGGCGTTTGAATCACCGTCGCCCGTGATGAAGCACCGCGACTTTTGTGTCCTCGAGGTACTGTCCTTTCTCGTGGCATGCTCTTTTGCATGGCAACAAACAAAATCAGCTTTTAACGCAGCCATCTTCATGTAGTGCCTGGACGAATTTACCGACGGCACTGGGTGAGTCGGGAGGGCGCGGTCCCTCACGTCGATCAAGACCCCACGGTGTCCCGACTTGGATCCGTCGTCCGGCGTCGTGCGCGGCAGAATGGCGCGTACAGGGTGCATCTTCATGGAGATGACGGACGCCCCCGGTCGGTTGGAAGCCACGTACTTTGTGCAGATGGACTTTCACGGATCCGCGCCCAAGGCGATGTACGTTCACGGCATGCGGCGGCACATCCGAGCGATCCTCCCCACGGTCGAGTCGTTCATCCTTATTGCGCTGCTCCGCGACGCGGCCTTCTTCGCCAAGCTGGTGCCAACGTCCGCTCGACGCGCTTGCCATGTGTGTGACTTGATGTTTGGCGCGTTTCATCGTCGGCGCCGATGCCGCAAGTGCGGCGACGTCGTGTGCACTTCATGCAGCAGCCACGTCACGTTCGATCAGCATCTGGACAGTCTCAAGCTGCGCATTTGCACCGCGTGTGTCATGCACGTGCTACTCCCGGACGAGTTTCCAAACCCGACGAGGTCTTCATCCCAGCTCCGCCTTCACCATGACAGCAACGATGATGATGAAGTTGTGACGGTGGGTCGCAACTGTTCTACTGGTCAAAGCCAAAGTCATCGTCGCTCTCACTCCAGCCAGATTGAAAATAAACAAAAAGAGACTAAAGAACGACGGCGCAGCAAATACTAGTCCGATACGTTTAGCGTGGACGCTCCCCGTGAGCGCCTCGAGCAGCCGAAAACTCCCCGTCATCCATCGATTAGTTGCCCACGACAAAGTGTCAAACTCCATATGATGTCGACATGATCGGACGACGTGATCCCCCCCGAGACCTCTGTATCAACACCCCCTTACAACCCCACGACCATCCTCCTCGATCCTCCGAACAGTAGGTGCTAGGGGTTGCGTTTTCAATTCAGCACGGTTGTTTGACGAGTCGTCGGAAGAACGAAGCTCCACAAACCGAGGGCTGCTGCTGTCGTCTCGAGTTTCGATCGTTGGGAGCCAAGTACACACCTCGATGTTGTCACCTCTGTGGCGTTGTAATAGGGGGTCGTCACGTCCAGAGTGCATCCACGGCATCTCGTGGTGAGGGACCTGCCGCGATGGGTGGTGCATCGACTCACCCAGTGCCGTCGGTAAATTCGTCCAGGCACTACATGAAGATGGCTGCGTTAAAAGCTGATTTTGTTTGTTGCCATGCAAAAGAGCATGCCACGAGAAAGGACAGTACCTCGAGGACACAAAAGTCGCGGTGCTTCATCACGGGCGACG